AAACCTACCACTGTGTAAGGAGTAAAATAGGTAGAATGGCTGGGCCTGGTCATATGCCAGCCCCTAAACAGGTGAGGAAGTGATGTAGGAAAAAGGATGGGATCAGCTTCATAAAGACTATGTTGGCAGGAAAGAGAGCTGGGGAAGTAGTCCCCAAGAAAGAGAAGTCAGAATGGTGGTGCTAGTAAGGGAGAGGGCTACCAGGCATGTCCTCATGCAGAAGGGAGAACGGGGCAGGGGAGCAGATAATACTCTTGAGGTGCAGCAGTGAGTCCAGGGGTGGGTCCTGGGCTCCATCTTCACATTCTAGGTGCTTCTCCACAGGATGGGATACATTTGGAGCCAGCATGGTGGAGGAGGAGACAGGGGAGACTCCTGGCCCAACAAAGAGATCACACTCCTCAGCTCCTCAAAAGAAAGGGTTTATATTAGCGAACTTTCCATCACTGTGACAAAACAGCAGAGATAGGGCTCTGGGGTCGTGGCTCAGTGGTAGAGTGCGTGTCTCCCATATGTGGGGCACTGGGTTTGATCCTCAGCACCACATAAACAAATAAAGGTATTGTGTCTATCTACAACTAAAACCAACCAAACAAACAATGACAGCAAGAACAACAACAACAAAAAAACACCATAGATAAACAACTTGTAAGAAGGAAATTTTTGTTTGGCTCACAGCTTCAGAGGTTTCAGTCCACAGTTATCTCTATTGTTTGGGGGCCCGTGATAAGAGACCATCAGAGCAGGGAGTACATAATAGAGCATCCAGGAAGCAAAGAATGAGAGAGGAAGCAGTGAAGGTTCCACTATCTCCTTCAGGGCCTCACCCACAATGGCCTAATTTCCTTCCACTAGACCCCACCTCCTAAAAAGTTCCACCAACTCCCAGTACTACTCTTGGCTGGTAACCAAGCCTTCATCACACTGGCCTTTTAGGGACATTTAAGATCCAAACCATAACAGGTAGCTGTAGGAAATTGAGCCTGAGGCCACCCTAGCAGAACAAAAGATAGAGTGCTGGTGGAGGGGAGCCTTTCCCCCTCTCATAAAGAGGGACCTGAGGTGACCGGGATGGAATTTACAGTGTTGTACACATCTCTCGGTATGGCCTTTATTCTGCCCCAGCCTCTCTGATCCTAAGTGATGAGAGATGACACTTCCTTAGACAGGGACTGATTCTTAAGGTTAATTAAAAGTGGCCTTTCTCATGAATCATCCACTGCACTGAATTATTAATCACCTAGCAGGCATTTGTAGGCCTTTAAACTCTTGGACTTCCTGCCACTCTCCTTGGAAATGCTCTTGCCAATGGAAATATGACTTCCTTTTGCCCACAGGCGAGAGAAATCATGTCTGCTCCTGTTTCCAGGTTCCCAGCTCCAGAGATCTGGTAAGGAGCAAGATCTGAAAACAGGAAGCAGGGCCAGGACTGCAGCCAGCCCTGGGAAGTGCTTCTATTATGTGGAATTGGCTCCAGGCCAGACCAATCTCAGAGGCCCTGTGGGACAGTGGATGGAAGGGAGATTAGCCACAGTGCCTAAGGCTCTTGGCCAGGTTCATGGGCATCTCCATAGGAAATGGTTTCCTGGAGTTTTGCATGGGCCGGTCAGTGAGGAGGAAAGAATAAGGGGGCCAGATAGCCAGGTCAAGCTCCACCACTTACTGGGCTGACCATGAACCTTCTTTAATGTCCTTAACTAAGGGCATGATCCCGATACTGCAGGCTGACATAAGGTTCAGTGACAAAAGATCCAGCCTGCATCGCAATGCCCATAATATCAGGATTCACAAGAAAGATGAGTTTTCTGCTGCCACCTGCTCTGTCTTCCAGTGGAGGAAGACCCAAAACATGGTGGACTGGCTGTAGAAGGTACTTGCCAACACAGCTAGCAACCTAAGCAAACCCAGCAGGTAGTGTCCAGGACAAGGCCGGGGAACTCCGTCCAGGCCCAAATGTGTGATCCACAATGTGTCAGCTACATGGACAAAGCTAACAGAAACCAGGGAGCTCATCCTGAAGGCACAAGCCCTTTACCATTTAGTACATTCGTCACCCTGGGGGTGGACTCTGGGAATGTCCAGCTGAATAAAACATGGCCCCTGCCTACATGGAGGTGCTGGTCTACCAGGAGAGTACAGTGGAGTGGTGGTCACAGCCCATAATCCCATAGTCAATATGGTATCTGTAGGAACATTGAGGACAAGGAGTGGATGACAAAAGTTTTAATAGAGGAGGACCTGAGACGAGCAACAGGGAAGGAGAACAGGAGGGACACAGTATTTCAGACGTGCTGAGAGGGAGCCAGTTAATTGGCAGAGGTTCCAGAGTAGCTTCACCAGACTAGACGTTGAGTATCACAGAGGGATGAGAGAGAGCCCAAATGACATAGCTGGGGAAAGGTACAGGATAGAATCTGGGGAGTACAGAGGAAGCTGATGCAGTTCTGAAGGTGTGAGCTGATGGAGGCCAGGATAAGCATTTTGGTAATGATGGATGAACAGAGAAAGAGCTGGAAGGATTTCGTGACTGCTAGCAATCAGAGAAGGAGACCGGGGAGGAAAATAGGCACCCTGAAAAGATACAATATGGGTCTGGGGGGAAAGAATGGCAGCTCGGGCCTGACTGGCCAATAGGAGTTCACTTTTCAAAGAGCACACACTATCCCACCCCACATTCAGAACAGACCCTGCACAGCTTAGGCCCCACCGTGGAGACAGCTCATGTGGATGGGATATCATATCCATTATGTGGAGTTGGCTCCACATCATTTTTGTTGGCTCAATATACTTTTTGTTGAGCACAAGGAGCTGTCTGGGGCTATTTGGAACACAGTGTGGAGGAACATGTGTGTGTGAGACAGCTAGTACAGAAGCACAGAACAGTCAGGCTCGGGTGCAGGACATCTGGGGAGAGGGGTCAAAGCTATTGAAGAATTACCACAAAGGGATCATGAGAACTTTATTAGCTGCCCGAGTCCAGCCATGGGACACACTGAGAGCTCCAGGCAGCAGGAGGCAGAATGTAAGCCACCACCTCTACCACTCCAAAGTGCTGCATGGAATCTCTCTGGCCAATACAATAATGGCCCCAAAGATGTCCATACTCCAGAACCCATAAGTATGCAAAATCCCTGAGTCTCTTACATAGCAAAAGGGATACTGCAGATGTGAATCACTTAATGATACTGATATGTGGAGATTATTCTGGATTGTACAGTGGGGCCCATATAATCTTGAGGGTCCTTATAAAAAGGAGGCAGAAACGGTTATTAAAATGACCCAGAGTCAAATAAGAAAATGCTGTGCTTCTGGCTTTGAAGATAGGGGGTCCTCTAGTAGGTAGCCTCTAGAAGTTGGAAAAGGCAAAAAAATAGCTTCTCTGCTAGAGCCTCCAGAAGGAAGACATCTTTCTGACTCTTAGAATGTTAAGATTTTTTTTAACTTTAAAAACATTACGAGTCACCAGGCATGGTGGTGCACACCTGTAATCCCAGCTTCTGGGGAGGCTGAAGCAGGAGGATCACGAGTTCAAAGCCAGTTTCAGCAAAAGTGAGTTGCCCTAAGCAACTCAATGAAACCCTGTTTCTAAATAAAATACAAAATAGGACTGAGGATCTGGTTCAGTGATTGAGTGGCCTAAAGCTCAATCCCTGGTACCCCTAGCCATATATATATATATATATTATGAGTCAACTTTAACAAGTAAAAATTCAACATTCTTCTCCCAGCAGTGAGCAAGTCCATTTTTCAAATGTAAATGAGGCTTAAAACCTGGGGGTGGTACAGGAACAGTTCAGTTTCTGCCACAAACACAAGTAGCCAGACAGATTTGGGTAAATGTTTCTGTACACTAAACTTAAAGTGCTAAATCTGTTCTAATTTATGTCAGTGCAATGGGAAACTAAAAAGTACAGATATCTAACTCACATGAGATGAAGATGGGACACCCGGCATTGCCCCTTTTTGGAGACACTGCCCCCATTGTGGCCTCCATCGGTTACCTATGTGGAAGCAGAAGTCAGGGTCCTGTGATCCTCCTGATGCTCCAGTCTGACGGGAGCCTGAAGGCAAGTTTGTGCCAGGAGAGACGACAGTAGGAGAAACAGACCTCTGCCTGGTTCTTAGCAAGTGTAAGGATGGGGTAGAAATGTGGCTGGCCAAATGTGGGGATCCTGCTTTATCATTACCTCCTCCCTAAATCCATACTCCACAAGGAGAGTGACCACTGCCAGCCTCTGCCCATAGTCACAGAAGGTGGCCACAAGATGAGGGATACCCCAATTTACCACCTATTCTGCCTAGGGTGACCCAGCAGGACCAGATCCTCATGCACACTGACTGTTAAGTCCCCTCCCTCCCACTTGCCTACCCAGCCTTCCCTAGGCATGGATGACTAGGGGAGGCCAATTCAGGCTATCTTTGGACATTACCTTCATGAAAGAGACACCTCCAAGTCTCAAGCTCTCCCCTTCAGGTCCTCTCCAAGGGGATGTGTGCAGATGAGAGTCGGGTGCAGTATCCTTGGACTGCATCCACTTGATGCCAAAGCTCAGAAGACCCCAGCGCCTTTCCAGGAGCCTCTTGACCAAGGCTGTGTTCACCAGCAGGTGGTCTGATAGTAATCGCCACAGTATTAAGGGCTGTGAGTAGGTGACCCAGGGGACAACTCCCTCAGTCATATAGTCTCCATAGCAGTGGCTGGAACACATTGCACCATTTTTTTTTTTTAAATTTAAGTCCCCTTTACATACATTGTAAGTCAATGTTGGGCCAGTCATCCTTGTGAGAACCCCTTATACACATTAACCCCCAGGAATGCTGTTATTACCCAACCAAGGAGAGGGAGCACAGAGGGTTAAACTGAAGTGGGCCAACTCTCACAGCTGGCGGGTGGGGAGCCAGAGTAAGAACCCTAGGAGATCGAGCTCCAGAATCTCCCTCAACTCTTGGTTATTTTGTCCACTGCGACAATGACCCATGAGGTCAACTTGATACGACATATGCCAAGGACAACAGGTGTGAGGGACCAGATGTGGAGCTCTCTGTCACAACCTGGTGGAGAAGGCTTTAGCTTTGCCCTCCGTTTTGCAGCCCACCCAGCCCGTAGCTGCAGGGAGCCCTGAGGACGCTTGAGACCCGCCCCGCCCGAACCCGGGCGGTTTCCGAGAGCGCACTCCGCGGGCTCCGCGCCCCTCCCGGCCTCTGCCAGGGTCCGGCTGGGGCGGAGCTGTGGCCTCGGGACTCTGGATCCCTGCCCCCGTCAGCCACTCGGTTGCGGACCTCAGGGCAGCAACGCCTCAACCCATCGCCCCCGCGACTTCCCGATGGCCCCGCGCCACGCCTGAAGTGCCTGCCCCGCGGCTCCAGCAGGAGGTGCAGGGACCCTAGAGACTGAGCCCCGTCTGGCGCCCCAGGACCGGACAGAGCAGCCTCATGGCGGGTAAGTGCCCTGTCTTCTTTGCCCCGGGCTCTACGTCATGAGAGGCTACTCTGGGCGACAGGTTCCAACACTTGCCTCCGCCCTGCAGATCCCGCTGGGCCACAGCCCCTGCCCACTCGGCTCCTAGAGGAGTGCGAGAATGGAGTAGAGAGATCGGCTCTTGGAAAACAATTGCCAAATTAGAAGGTGTCGGGGTCTGGCCTTCTCACTACCCCAAATGGTCCATAACCCAGAGCCTGGAGCCCGGGAAGCCCCCGCCCCTTCAAGTGCCCCTTTAAACCTCTGTGATGACCAGTGAAAGGGGCCAAAGCGTCCTCAGCGGGCTCCTGGCAAAGCCTCCCAGGAACCCACAAATACAGGCGTGTGAGTGCAACAGGGAAAGGCCCATATGTCTCTGTTTCCCACAACTGCCGCCTCACACCCCTCTCCACTGCCTCCCACCATCTCCTCTAAGTACAGGCTCATCTTGATAGAGGGCTGGGGAAGGGAACTGGTGTTAGAGAAGGTAACCAAACCCAAGGTGAGTCCAGCCTCACAGCAACGTCCAGAACCTGCTGGAACCTGGGTGCACATCAGGGGCATGGGTTCCTCCTTGGGCTTTCCTTGCCGTGTGTGCTTATCCACAAGACCACCCTCAAACCTCAAAAGGATCTCAGGGAAGTTGAAGGCTCTGGCAGGAGAAGGTTTGATTTCCAATCAAAAAAAAAAAAACAAGAAACACTTCATTTCAATCACAATCTCAAATCCAGGGTCTGCTGCTTTCCAAGAGAAACACTAAGGCTTTTCAGGGGGCAGACACTAGGGCCCCAATGGAAATGCCTTGTCCCACTGAGACCTGGCAGAGTCCAGCCAGCTGCTTGCTTCAGCATCACTCCAGAAATATAACGCAGGGTGTGGGGTTGCTACCCTAATCTTGCCCCCACACTTCAGAGCTGTGTGGGGGAGTGGCTTTCACCAGGCAGGCATCACTGTCTGCCTGGTGGTCTCTGTCCCCAGAGCAGCTGGCCCTGGTGATTGGGGGCATCGTTGGGGGCCTGCTTCTACTGCTGTTGACTGGTGTGAGTTGCTGTCTGTGGAGGAGGTTTTGTGCCACCTTCACCTATGAGGAGCTGCCAGAGACACCAGCCACCGCCATCAGCGCTGCCTCCCGCAGACAGGGGGACAAGCGCTGTCAGCTATATTCCAGGACCCAGCTGAGCAGGTAAGGCAGGATGGGGGCCAAGTGGTTCTTTCTCTAGGGTCCTCTCTGTGGAGTTGCCATCGGATTGGGTGAAAAAGAAAAGTTCTGTTTCTAGAGCTCTTCCTGCAAGCCCTGGGCATGCCAGGAGCTACCACAAAGAAACCCAGAAACCTCACCACAAGCTATGAGACAGGCATTGTGAAACCCATTTCTAGCTGAGTAAACCGAGGCTCAGAGAACAAAAGTAACAGGTCTAGGCTTCAAAACTAGTAAGAGACAGAACAGGAATTAGAAACTGGGTAGGCTGACGTTGGAGGCTATTGTTCTTTCTCCAACACCCCATTGCTGTGGGCAGACGGAGGCACTGACTGGCTGTGGGTGTGTGTGTGTGTGTGTGTGTGTGTGTGTGTGTGTGTGTCCATCCTGGTGTGGACCCAGAAAATGATGCTTTTACCTCCTGGCTCCCAGTGACTTTTCTCCCTCCAGTCCCTGGCACTCAACCCCTCTTGGCTGAGCACACTGAGGCCCCACCCTTCACCTGCCACCTACATTTTGTTTCTTTACTTCTGAACAGGCCATCAGGTGTGCCATTCATCGTGCCCCCTTCCATCCAAGGCCGAGACTGGGTACCCCTGCATAACAAAGAGCTGTCCCGGGCCCCACAGGACCCCTGTCTAGCCCCAGAGCTCCTGCCTCATACCTCCAGCAGCAATCTTGGTGAGTACTCCCGCAGGTCAGGGTCCGCCTGGGCTTGGTGGATCCACCTGCTTTCCCGAGTCAGGCTGCTCAATAGCCTCTGGCCCAGGAAGGCCAGAGTTACCCAGAGACCATTCTTTCCAGGTACTTTCATTTACCAAGTACTGACTGCACCTCATGCCCTTGAGATATGACCACTGTGCTGTTTTGGAGTTAGACCTTAACATCTTGGTGGGGAAGGAAGTAACTCATTTTACATTCTGGAAGTTTAGCAGCAGTGCCTTACCAAGGTCTCAGAGGCAATAAGCAACAGGTCTGGGATTCAAAAGTAGGTGTAACCAGGTGCAGAACTTATACAACATCCTGCTCCAGGAGATGATGGCCAACTGAGAAGCAGAAGTGTAGGAGGTAGAGACAACTTTCCAGTCTCCTCTGTGCTTCTGAAAATCTCCCAAGAGACCTTCTCAGGAACCACCCAGTAATCAGCTTGGTACTTCCAATTTGAAGAGGAAGAAAAAAACGCAACATGTTATCACTGGGTCATTCTCTAGGCACCGAGGAAAGGGATCAGGCCAGGTGCTGGACAGAATGTACTGGAAAGCATGCCTTGACCTCCAGGGATAGGAGTTGACCATAGGGCACAGGTGTGTGGAGTAGGCATTGAATGGGTAATGGAATGCTTACATGCACCAGAGGGAGGTCACCTTCATAGTCTGGAGAAGAGAGTGAGGTAGAGGTGGTCAGACTAGTTGAGGCTCAGATGAAGGGAGAAGGGCCACAGTAGTGATATGGCTAGATCTTGCTACTATCTTCCATGTGCCTGTCTTCCTCTTGCCAGCCAGACCTCCAAGCCATTCTGTTGTAGGAGATGCAGGTGTGGTGGGGACCATCAACCCAGAGTTGTACAAGTTTCCAGAGGACACAAGTGAAACTGATTTCCCTGACGGCTGCCTGGGCCGGCTGTGGTTCTCTGTGGAATACCAGCAGGAGACTGAGCGGCTGCTGGTGGGCCTGATCAAGGCACGGTTGCTGCAAGCACCCTCTGAGACCTGCAGCCTCCTGGTGAAGCTCCACCTACTGCCTGATGAGCGGCGCTTCCTCCAGTCCAAGACCAAACGCAAAACTTCCAGCCCCCAGTTTGATGAACACTTCATCTTCCAGGTATAGCCCCTGGGCAGACAGGGCCTGTGTCTTCCAGCCTTATGGGAAGGAACGTTATGCAGGACAGTCCAGCCTTCTGTTTAGCCCCTGGGACCATTGGTGCCTCCAGATCTGCTTAACAAGCTGACCAAGTCAGGGTCTGTAAGAGGTGGGCCCTGATGAAAGGGGCCAGCCTGTCCTGGCTGCCTAGAGGAGATGAAGAAAACACATTTTGGTGCACCTACTAAATTCTAGGCTCTAGCCCACAAGTCTCAGAGAAAGCATTCCCAAAACCTGAAACAATAAGGGGTTTCTGGCAAGGTTACCCAAGGAAGGTGAATATTCATTTTGCTTAGAGTTATCTCAGGCCCTTTGGAGTGGGGGCAGAAACTGTCCTACGCTTGCTTTTAGAGGCTGGCACGGGGACCAAGAGCCATGCTGGGGCAGGTACTGTGTTTTTGCTGCACCTTGGACTGAACCCCTCTGGGTTTACAGGTAGAGAGGCCATTAGGGCATCTGGCTGGAAAGGGCCTGGGAGCCTCAACAGGTGACTAGGGCCCTTAGGGGAAGTCAGCAATTGAGACCTGCCAAGAGGCCTTTGACAAACATTTTCTCAAGATCAGTACAGCATGCTGGCCTGAGAGGTAAGGAAAGACCATCCCACTTCCAGAAAGAGCATGATTACTGAGGCCAGAGTTATGATTCATGCTTTCCTCCAATGCTGAGAACTGGGAGGAGGGGCAGCTTTGTTCCAGGCTGTCCTGCTGGGTCCAAAGCTGCGAGAATTCACAGGTGAATTTGCCCCATCTTAGGACATCAGGATCCAAGGAGTGCCTTGCAGCCTTGCTAACGTACACAGTCATGCACCATGCTTATCCATTAATTCATTCATTTTACTCACCCCTTCCCTACCCAACCCTATCCATACTTGATCCTATCCTCTTTGTGCTTTGAGTGGGAAAAAGTAGGAGAAGGAGCAAGAGAATGAAATGAGTACTAATTGGCCAACTATATAGCTCAGACTGTGACTGGGGCTTTACAAATCAGACAGGAAGAACCATGATCCCCATTTTACAGGTGAGGAGGCCAAGTCTCTGAGAGGGGAGAATATTGTACCCAACTCTGATAGTAGATAGGTCATGTCCTAACACATTTAATGGGCAGGCAAAGCACTTAGCAGTCTTGTTCAGGAGCAGATTCTCATTCATGAGCCCAGGATGGGGCCCAAGATCCTGCCTTTCTAACAAGGCTCAGGCAGTTGTTGACATTGCATGTCCTCAGAGCACATTGTGCAACAAGGCTCTAGCATGCACTTGCACTTCCCATGTGTGCTTGGCCCTGCTGTGGAGAAGGGTCCCCACAGGATGTCTGGGTCTGGGGTATGTAGATGCCTGGTTTAGATACCCCTCAGTAAAAGTGCCTGTGTCAAACATGTCAGCATCTCATCCTCTATCCCCATGCCTGACCTGGCCTGCATCCTCATCTCCCGCAGGTATCCTGCAAGAGTGTGACCCAGAGGGTGCTGAAGTTTTCAGTGTACCATGTGAACAGACAGAGGAAGCACCAACTCCTGGGACAGGTGTTGTTCCCCCTGAAGAATGAGACCCTAGCAGGTGACTGCCACCATGTCTTCTGGAGAGACCTAGAGGCTGAGAGCCTGGAGGTAAGGTGGAGGTCACCAGACACACAGTCAGCACTGCTGTGGGCAGCCAGCAGGCATTCTCAAAGCACCTGCCGGCCAACATCAGTCCTCAGCACACTGCATACCACCCTACAGGAGGGAGTCAGGAAGGCAGGCCCAAGCCATGAGCTAGCTCCTGAGAAGAGTTGGGATGGACTTCCTCCTGGGCCGCGAGGGGTCACCTAAGGTCTTTCCACACTGGCTGTCATATTATCTGGATGGATACAAAACAATGCACATTTGGATTCCCACCACTAAGAAAAATGACAGCACAAATAGACCAGCCCAGGGAAATATTTATCTATCATTCTCCCATCCCCCCGGGAAGGATCCACGTGGCTCAACATAGGCTTTGGAACCCCATAGACTTGGGTGTGAATTCTTGGCTCTGATCCATATTACAGGTTGAGTACCCCTTATCCAAAATGCTTCAGACCAGAAGTGTTTCAGATTTAGGATTTTTTGAATATTTGTATGTACATATAAGTACGTACAAATAAGACCCAAGTCCAACAAAAAATTAATACAATGTTTTTAAATAATTTTGTTCATGAAAAAAGTTTCGTGATATGAAACTTTCCACTTAGCATTCAACAAGTTCTGGATGTTGGAATAGTTAGACTTCAGAGTTTTGAAATAGAATGTCAAATCAACATACTGCACAAGTCCCTTTAACTCTCCAGACCTCACTTTCCCCATCTATAAAATGATTGGGGCTCAAAGGAACCCATTGGGGTGTATCACTTGCACCCTAGCCTTGACTGCCAAGAGGGCAGGAGGCATTCTAGGACTCTATAGCCCCTCTTATACCTGTGATGGGTGGGTGCTTCCATCTTGGCCTCCCCAGCCTCCCTCGGAGTTTGGTGACCTTCAGTTCTGCCTCAGCTACAATGACTACCTGAACCGCCTGACCGTGGTCGTGCTTCGTGCCAAAGGCCTCCAGCTCCAGGAAGACAGAAGTGTTGTCAGTGAGTCACCTCCCTTATCCTCCTGGGGAAGGTCCCACCTGGTGAACCTGGGGCTTGGGCTGGAGTCTTGCCCTCACCCTTATATTCTAATTTCTGCCTACATAACCCATTCACAGAGTGCTCACTGCCTCCCATGATATGCCCTCCATCCATGGAAAGTTCTGGTGCAAGAACCCAAGGCTGTATCCCCTTGCACCCTCCCAAAGGCTCTAATCTGATCCAAGACCACACCTTGCCCCTCCTGTTTTCCAAGGCAGTGTCTTGGCTCCTTGACTGTCCTGCCTATCTCTGCCTCTACCTGTCCCTCAGCTGAATGGGTCCAGTACTCTGCCTCCCTCCTACCAGGGGAAAGGCTTGAGCACTCCCTGGGGCACTGATGCCCAGCTAATAGTGAACCCACTTTCCCCAGCCTCCAAAACCCAGGAGCCGAAAAGCAGCAGGTAAGCCCTGCCCCTTGCAGGTGCCCCTAGCAAAATAGAGGTTGTCTGCAGCCTGTTGGAGTTTGTGTCTCTTTGTGGATTCAAAGGCCATCTGGGCTCCTCCTTCTAAATCATAGCCCTCTGATCAAACAGGTATTCAAGGGACCCAAGGGTCCTGAGCACTCAGAAGATAGCCCCCCTCCCTGATGGAGAGGGATGGGTAGGTGCTACCAGGCTCCAATGAACAAGGGTCAGCTCAAACATGTCTCCTAAGCAAAGAGGGAAGAAAAGGAAAGAGCTAAGCATTTCCTTAGCCATGAGGCCTGACATTAATCAACCCCATTTCCTCTTGTCACACCCTCTGGCCTCAGCAGCACTGTGAGTGATGAGGACCTGGCACCTGGGTTGGGCTCCTACCCTCCTAACCAGGCTTTCATGGGTGCATGCTGGGTTCCTGCTGGTCTCCCAGTTACTGGTGTGCACTGCCCCTCAGGTGTGTTTGTCAAAGTGTCCCTGATGAACCAAAACAAGTTTGTCAAGTGCAAGAAGACTTCAGCTGTGCTGGGTTCCGTCAACCCTGTGTACAATGAGACCTTCAGCTTCAAGGCCGATGCCACCGAGCTGGACACCGCCAGCCTCAGCCTGACAGTGCTGCAGAGCACTGGAGGGGACAGTAAGGATATCCTCCCCACCCCTCAGGCTACTGGGGCAATGTGGCAAAGTCAGAATGAATGCCTTACCACAGGAGGAGCTATCCAACCTCTGTTCTCTAGTTAAAGAAATTCTCACATAGAAACTGAGGTACTTGCCCAAGGATACATAGCTAGTCATCAGGAGTGCTGGGATTCCAGAGTTCCAGTTGGACTGTCTGTGGTACCCTAGAAAGAGGCTAATGGATGGTCTCTACTACCTATTCCTGGGCAAATCACTGGAGAGATCAGGAAGCTGCATGGCTGCCTAGCACCAATCCAGTGATCTGCAAGGTGGGCGTTATATGCCTGCATTTTCTCATACCTCGGGACTTCCAAGGGAGAAAAAAAGCAGTTCTTCAGCCCCAGAGCAAATTAAGGGCCCTTTTAGAGGCTGACAGCTCATGCTTGGAGAGCAGGGGGCTTACTGCTTCTTTCAAGGGAGAGTAAGACACAGAGATAGAGGAAAAAGTCACTGGGGATGTTGGGGCCTGAGTGACGTGACTTCTGTGCTCAAGAGCAAATGGAGTTCTCTCTTCTTGCAGGGAGCCACCCTCTGGGCAGAGTGGTGGTGGGACCCTACATGTACACACGTGGTAGAGAGCTGGAGCACTGGGATGAGATGCTCAGCAAGCCCAAGGAGCTGGTGAAGCGATGGCATGCACTCTGTGGCCCCACTGAGCCCTGACCCAGCACCAGAACTGCAGTTGTGCTTCAGAAGCTCACTGACTGCACAGTCATATGCAGCAGCCACAAGCAAGGACATTTCATCCAGTGTCTCACTGGGCCAGCATGAACCAGGGGTACCCGAATGCTGATAGGCAGGAGAAAAGAGGGAACAAGGAGCTCTGCCGGAGTCAGCAGTTGTGACCAGGAGCACTGCCCCCTACCCCCACAACTCACTTCACCCTTCTTTAGCTGTGGGGCTGTGTGGGCCTGGAATCCAGACTCCTGGTCATCACAGTCATGATGTGATATCAGGTGTCAGGTGTTCAGAAGAAATATTCTATTTAGTGATGGCATATCTGATTGGAAGTACAGGATGAACTTAGGTCCCATCATCTTGATGGATTCCCATAGCCTGATATGTCTCAAATTCTGATGGCATGCAACTCTGGCAGAAAGAAGTCCTTTGCATGTCCATAAAACCATTTTAAAATAAACTAGCTAATTTCTACCAAAAATGGTGATATGATTTAATGGGATTTTAGTAAGCACATAGACCAATATGGTGGTCATTTGATAACTTTAGAATATTGAATCTTTCATTCTATTAACATGGTATATCCCTAAATTTAAGTTTCTAAAATTTTTCTTATCACACTTTTGGGCAAAGTGTTCTTACACATCTTTCTGTAAATTTATTCTTAGGTGTTTTATATTTATCTATTGCTAATATAAAGAGATTCTAGTGATACATAAGTATGTTGATTTTATATCTAGTGTGTTGATGCTACACTGCATTACATTTCAACTGCGGTTTCTCCGCCTTCTGCCTAGCAGAGAACATACACTTTTCTGGATGATGTAACTGGGAGAATGCTGGGAGCAGCCCACCCATGGACAAAATGGCAGATGAGCTGTCAGAGAGGCTCACTGTGCTAGGTGAGGAGGGTTTCACTTGTTTGTTAGGCCCCCTCCCAGGACCCAGCTCTTGCCTATGGCACACCCTCCCCAGGGTCCAAAACCTCATACCTCTGATCTTGCAGATGATCTGCTGCTGGATTCTATGGTACCTTGGTTAATATCATCAGTTGCTGGGGCTGTCACTTTGGGCAGGAAATGGTAAACACATGGGGCCATAGTATAGTCAGAGAACTCTTATAAGCCTAGCAATTCCAGTATGATTATTGTGCTATGACAAGTATAAAATTCATTAAGGTGGCAGTTCCCACAATCGCTGTCACCAATTCCCCAGAAGTTGTACTTAAGTTAATGAGCAGTCATTGTGCTTGTCACTGCTACTCTGACAGTTTTTGCACCTAATATTGCAGAGCTTGTAGTCAATGCATTGTTATTGTATAACTTGAACAGAACTTTGAACCTGTGTCTTTCCTTTCTTACGCAGTGAAGCAACTTCATCAAAAGAAGGTGGTGACTGTTGTGCTGAATTTGTGCCTCTTTGACTTCAGTTCCGATCTCTGTCAATACACAAATATAAGCATTGCCTGGCATTGGTCCATATCAATAGACTATCTTGTGTCTGCTTTGTCTCACTCATTTCCCTTGCACATTTTCAACGTAATCCACACCATAGTAGTTTTTTTCCAACAGTTCCATAGTAGAGTCATAATAGGAGTCCTTTATATGTTGGTAGACAAGACTACTAAAGTGGAACTGTTTCTGTTTTTCTGGGGTCCTGAGACTATAGGTACCAACCAACCCTATAGGCTTATGATCAGTAATGGCATGTCTAAGGTCACTTGGAAAAGTTAATAAATGTTCTCTTTGCAGAACAGAGTATACTGATGTCTTTGATTCATCTCTAAGAAATCTAAATTGCAGGGGACTATCAGGCTATCTACTCAGATGGGAAGGAAGAAGGGATTGCTGCATTGGGATACAGACATGATCAGGGCAAAAAAAAAAAAAATAGATATGTGCTTCCCATGGGTCAGTGCTTCCCATAGCCTGGATTGTCTCAAATTCTGATGGCACGCAACTCCAGCAGAAAGAAGTCCTTTGCATTTCCATAAAACCATTTTAAAATAAACTAGCTAATTTCCACCAAAAATGGTGATATAATTTAATGGGATTTTAGTAAACACATAGACCAATTTGGTGGTCATTTAATAACTTTAGAATATTGAATCTTGCATTCTATTAACATGGTATATTCCTAAATTTAAATTTCTAAAATTTTTCTTATAACACTTTTGGGCAAAGTGTTCTTACACATCTTCCAGTAGATTTATTCTTAGGTTTTATATTTATCTGTTACTAATATAAAGAGATTCTAGTGATACAGAAGTATGTTGATTTTATATCTAGTTAGTGGCCTATCTAAATTTATTTAAGCTGTAACAGCTTGCAGATTCTTTATATGTATTCATGTCCTTTGTGAAGAACAGTTTTATTTCTTCCTTTTCCAGTCCTTATATCTTATATCTCTTGCAGGGTTTAGGCAATTGGACAAGAAAAAGAAATAAAATGTGCCTAGATCATAAAGAAAGAAATAAAATAATATTTGGAGATGACATATTCTTGTATATAGAAAATCCTAAAGAATGCACATGCATGCACACACTTACACACAAATACACATACACACTATGAAGCTAATGAACAAGTTCAGCAAGGTGGTAGGATAGAAGATCAATATACAAAAAGTAAAAAATTTTAGCAGAATAGTGACTACAAGTAGTGATGGTGAGCATTCTTGTCTCAATTTCAATTTCAGGAGGTAAAGCTATCAAAATTCACCATTAAATGGGTGAGGATATAGCTCAGTGGTAAAGCATGTACCTAGCATGTGCAAGGGCCTGTGTTCAGTACCATCCCCAGTACCATAAATAAATATTCAACATTAAGCATCATGATGGTTTTTTGTTTGTTTGCTTTTTTTGTTTTTGGTGGTGCTGCAGATTGAACCCAGGGCCTTATACATGTGAAGCAAACACTCTACCACCTGAGCTGAATCCCCAGCCCTAGTTATATGACTTTAATATACTCATGACCATATAGTCCCAACTTGTCTAAAATTCTTTTTAATCACAAGTGGTGTTAGATTTTATTTAATAATTTTCTCTAACTTTAAGATAATCATATTTTTCTCCTTTGTTATTTCAATGTGAGGAATTATAGTGATTGATTTTTGAATATCAAACCAAATTTACATTCTTATGACAGAAACAAGTGATGTGTGTGTGAGTGGCACACACAAATTACATGGTGTTTTTAAAACTGAATTTATCTGCAATTATATTTTGAGGGATTTTTACACTTAATAGTTATGTTCATGAGAGACTTATCTATAATGTTTGTATTGTAATTATCCTTGTACTTGAACATGTATTCTAAAGTTATTGTGTACAGGTGTTCTACGCATTTCCATTGGGCCAAGTTTATTAATCATATTGATCAAATCATCTATATCCTTATGGATATTTTTTGTCTGTTTTGCTTACTATTATTGAGAGAGGTTATAGCCTTTCACTATGATTGTGAATTTATTTATGTATCCTTTTAGTTTCATCAATTTTTCTCTTATGTATTTTGAGACAGTGTTATTAGGCTCATGCCCATTTAAATTTATATTTTTATGGCAGATTGAACACTTTATCATTGTGAAAAACTACCTCTACTATTTGCAATGGCATTTTTTCCACTTCCCTCTATTTTTTCAAATTTGTTATACATTCTTATAATTGTTATGTTCTCTTAAATAGCCTTTAAATCAAGTCCATGAAACTCTACCATTTGTGTACTTGGTGCATTTACATTTAATGTAATTGCTGATACCTTTGCTTTCATATGTACCCCCTTACTATTTGTTTTCACTTGTCCTACTTCTTTTATGGTTTCTCTCCTCCTCCTCCTCCCCTCCCCACCTTCTTTTTTTAACCTTCTTATGGATTGACTCACTTTAAAAAAAAATCTATCTCCCCATACCTATTAGTTGCTACTTACACATTCTTTAATTATTCCTTTAGTGGTTACCACAGAGATTACAATTTGTATATATTATCTATTATAGTCCAATATACATTTTACTTTTTATCACTTGTTAAACATGCTCTAATGTCACAACAATCTCTGCCTCTATTCTTCTTTTTTGTGTGTATGTTCATTTATCTGGTAATATTCATTTTTATATTTTTACACCCAGTAAGACATTACTGTCATTACTGTGTTCAAACACTATTCATTGATATTCAAGCACATATTTATTTTTTCTGCTGCTTTTTATTCTTTTCTGCATTTCTGGAATTCTATCTTATTTCTACCCTGAGAACTCCCTTTAGTATTTCCTAGAGTACAGATATACTGGCAGCATTCTTTTTGTGATTTTGAATAGAATTTTCTATTCCAAATTCATTTTTAAAGCATATTTTTGTGGATGTAGAATTCTAGGTTGATATTTTTTTCTTTCAGCAATTAAAAATGGTATCTCAGTGTCTGCTCACTTGGATCATTGCTTCGACAAGTGGTTGTCCATGCTGTTGCTTCTCCTGTGAAAGTGATATGTCCTCCGCCCTCACCCAGTGGCTACTTTGAGTGTCCTTTCTCTGTCTTCCATTTTCAACACTGTGTGCCTTGATGCAATTTTCTTATTTATCCTGATTTGGGATCATAAAACCTCATCAGTTTCAGAAAGTACTCAGCCCAATTTTCTATTTATCATCCTCTTAATTAATTTTCTTTAATGATAGGTATTGCTCTTATTTCCTTCTCTCCACTACTTCTGAAATTTCAGTTAAACATATGTTAGATATTTTCACTATTTCCCACAAATCTCTCATGTTCTTCACTATATTTTCTATTCTCTTTATCTCTGTGATTCTGTTTAGAGTTTTTAAACTGTCTTGTATTATAGTTCAGTAATTCTTTCTTCTGCCAGGTCTAACTGTGTTTAAATCTATACTAAGTTCTTCAATTATTCTTCATCTTCCATTTCTAAACTTTCATCTGATTCCTCCTAATCAGTTAGCATTCTTTGATGAATGTTTCCATGTTCTCAATCAAGTGTGTTTTATGGCATTAATATCTGGATCATTAGTGGATCAAATTTATTGGGTTACGTTTTTTTTTTCCTCTTTAGTCATGTTTTCAAGAGTGCTTGATCATTTATTGTTGAATGCTGAGGAATTATAGTGGTTCCAGTGAAATTAACTTGATAACATATTCCTCCAGAGATGGATTACCACATCCTGTGGTAGACAGAGTAGGTAGGGGTCATTTTACTCTAATCTGGTACTGAACTGATTAGAGTCTGGGTTACAGTTTTTGTAAGGCTCTATCTCTACCTCAGGTTTGCCCCCATTTCTAGAATGTAATCCTGCAAAGATCCCAGTCAAAAACTCTGGTACGTACGTGCCGTCTCTTCTTCTGTGGGTACTGAACTTTGATTTGTATTTCTTAAATATTATAACATTGCCAAAACCTGCTGACTTTCATAGGCTTCCTGCTCAGCTTAATAATTCAGCAAATATGTCCAGGGGGCAACCCCCAGGCATCAGAGTGACTTTTCTGTGTCCCCCTTCTCTCTGACACCTTGGCCCCTCCAGTCCTAAATGCCTTGGCAACCTCAGTCTCCAGTTTATTCTCTCTCCAGCTGCAGAGACTCTGCTGCCTTTGCTGCCCTTAGTTGTGACCTTCTGCCCAAGTGCTCAGCCTCTTCACCAGAATCAACAAATAACCTGAAGAGGAAAGTGGTTCATAGAATGTCAACTAACCTTCTTGTGCTTTCCTTCTTCTTCGGGGCCCTTCAGTTGCTTGTCAACTTGGCAGCTCTCCAATAAGTTTAGAAAAGATTTTCTGCATTTCATTCAGTTTTCCACTTGGTCTCAGCGTGAACATCAGTCTGCCTCAAACATCAAAAGAATTCTCAATAGAGAATGACTTCATGTGACAGGAGATAATCACATAATTCTTATAAGACTGGTGAAACCAAAGGGGGGGGGAAGTTGCTTGTAGAGATGCCATATAACAATCACGACCTCCCAATGCAATATGAGCAGTTATGTCTCCTGCCTCAATGGGTCAGCTGAGTGTGGAATGATCTAGAGTAGGCCACTAACTCACTTTCAAGCTCTGGATCTGGCTGGGTAGATTACTCACCTTTTCTTCAGTATGACCAAAATACCTGACATAAACAACTTAAAGGAGTGAAAGTTTATTGAAGGCTCATGATTTCAGAGGTTTCAGTCCATAGTCAGCTGGCTCCATTGCTCTGGGCCTGAAGTGAAGAAGGGCATCATGGCAGAAAGATGTAGCAGAGGCAAACTCATGGTAGGCACAAAGCAGAGGAAGAGGAAGGGGCCAGAGGCAAGATATTGTCCCAAAACACATGGCCCCAAGGACCCACTCCCTTCAAGCATGTTCCACCGGCCTAAAGTTTCCTCCTCTTCCCAGCTGTCTATTCAAATTATTAATCCATCAACTGGATTAATCCCCTGATAAGGTCAGAGCCTTCATGATCCTATCATTTTCCAAAAGTCCCACTTCTGGATATTACTGCATTGGGGAACAAGCCTTAATCACATGAGACTTTGGGGACATTTCAGATCCAAACCATAACACTGGGCTAGACTCCTAATGGGAGTCAATGGACCTGCTCCACATTTGTTTACTCTGAGCACAGGCTGAAGGGGCAGCAGCCACCCAAGAAAAGCTCTTTCCATGGCGAAGGCAGAAGCTAAAAGGGTAAGCTCCAATGTGAAAACACATTTCTACACTCTTCTCTTATGTTCCATCACCTGATATCTCATTGGGCAAAGCAAGTTCACATAGCCTAGCTGAAAATCAAGGGGCAGGGAAGTTAACCATGTTTCTTTTGTGAGTAACTGCAAAGCCACATAACCATGGACACAGCTCCAAGGAGAGATGAAAATTAGCATGGATAATTCATTCCCTAGAGACAAGAACTTCAGGAACTTGTGCTGATATGCAGGTGTAGTCACCAA